TATGTATGTATGTATGTATGTATGTATGTATGTATGTATGTATGTATATCCTCTTTGTGTGATGGGTTGTTGAACGACATGGCCTCTCTGGATGATAACCCAAAAATTCTGTGAGAGAACATATTGAACCGCGTTGTTCTGTTTTATGTGCCTGAGCTCGCCCGGCCTTGTTGGACCAGGCCTTTGCTGACACCTTTCCAGACAATGCTTTTGGCACCACTGCAAGGATTGCCAACTTGCCACCCATGTTGCTCATGAGCATTATGGCCTGGCAACAGTGGCCACAGGTTGATAAAATGCCATAGTTAGAATCTGATGGCAAGTGTGTCTCACAACTATGGCAACTAGCAGAGTCTAAGCACTGGCCGAAGCTGAGGGAGCCTTGTCAGAGCACTGCTTTGTTGCTGCGTCCATTGCCGGTGTCAACACCTTGGCGTCATCGCAGCCGGCACCAGCTTGGACCACCCCAACAAAGATGTTGCCCGAAGCAGCTGCAGCCTCTTTTCCTCAGCAAGCCATAACAAGCCCACTCCCAGATGGTTGGAGTGCATATGTCTCCCATCTCCCGTCTTTTCTCACACTGCTAGCGCAACCATGTCGCCAAGTTTTTCGCCATCCTCCTTTGCCTTTCCTTCAAACTTCTTGGTCTGTTCCTTCCCTGCTTTCAATGATCCCTTTGCCCTTAGGTCAGGCAAAAAGAGAGCAAGAACGCCAGAATGCTTCTAATCTTTCACAAAAGAACTGGTGCAAAAAAGAGTCAGTCCCTCCAACTCTGTGAGGAGGTCGGATTTCATGAGGAGAGATACCTCTTTGTCCTCTCGCTACGCAATGGCTCAAAACTCCACAGCACTGGCAAAACCCTACTTCCTCCAAATATGGAACAGCATGGAACAATGGCCAACCCATCGTTCAGACTCAAACATCCTCTGTCACTTTTCTGCGGAGGTCGCCGATGCACTTGTCAAGCTCATTTCCCGGTGACATTCCTTTGAAGCCATCCAGGTCAACACCTGAATGGAGCAGAGCGAACATTGCCAGTCCTTCAATCCGAGTTGTCCACACAAAACAGGGGTTTGGGACACGTGTCATGACAGGAGGTAACCCTGCAAAGCAGGTTACTTGCGTCAAAGGAACTGAGAGTCTTCGCTTTGAGCGTTGCTTCGACTGCTGCCTGTGGCCCTGCAAGCTGTGACCAGTCACAGTTGCACTTACAGGGGGGGTTCTTACAGAGAATCCAGTAGCTCGAGCAGGACAAGAAACAAACAGAGATGGCCTGTGACTGCAACTATTCTGCGAATACCTTTGGCAATACCCTCCTCCTGAAGCAGGACAAACTTGTAGATTTCCTTTCAGGGCAAAACACGCGGATGGGACTGTATTCCGGTGGTGCACACTGTTCTTGCTTGTCGTTTTTTCCAAGCTCGGTGCAGGGTCCTTACTGTTGGACACGTGAGTGCCACCACAAAACTCAATACTACTCTCCAATCCCCATGGTGTTTTCTTGTCAGCGAGCAAGTCGTCGATCTTTGGCCCCACGCTCACCACACGGACAGGATCTGGGTAAGTCTCGCCAAAGACTGCTCCTTGTCGCGCTCCGACCCACGCATGAAACACGCGTGAAACAGGCACCAGAACCTCTGCTTGATGGGTGATTGAAAGCACAGTAACTCACCTGCATCCAAGAAAACAACTAGCTAATGGATAAAAATAGCTAATAAATGCTGATAATATATATAGATAGATAGATAGACCTGACTTGAAGCTCGATCACGTGTGGGCAAATACCTAGCTGCACAAGTCCAGACTGAGATTCGGAGACCTGTGATTGCCTTTGCACGGTCAAGAGCAACATCTCGAAAGTGCACCACACAAGACTTCTGGATCATCTGGTTGCAAATCTCCTCAATCTTCCTCAACTCGGCCACGTCAACTGGCTTGGTGTGAGAGAAGTCGAATCGCAGCTTATCCTCCGTCACCAGGGATCCCTTCTGATCCACCTTTTCTCCCAGCACTTGGCGAAGTGCATAGTTCAGGATGTGGGTCGCAGTGTGGTTTTTCGCGACCAATGAACGCCGAGTGTAATCGACCTGTGGCCCAAATGCTTCGCTTCAGTGCTTAAGGAGCTTTAGAGCTTCGAACTATAAAATGTTTCCACAAAGCCAGTTGAGGCAGGCATCGACACAATCACCAGGCATACTTGTTTGAAACCCACTTGGGCCTTGATGGTCACCTGGTCACCAACTTTCAAGTCCCCCTTGCTTTCCACTTGGCCGACGTGCAACACATAGCCAGCCTTGGCTCGGAATTCAGGAGCTGATCGTTCGTGCTTCGAGTGGTTTGAAATTCTGCAGACTTCACCTCGATCTGTCTACTTTGATCTCCAGAAAGGCATTATTGCCATCTCCTCCCACAAATATCAAAAAGAATGATGAAGAACACGTCTTTGTGCTTGTTTCCAAACACCCCGAGGCAACACACGGCAGCCAAAGAAGCATATTTCTGGGCATTGTCAACGGTGAACTCCACACTTCCACACGTAATGGTGGCCTTCGCTGTGAAAGCAGGAGCACTGAGGACAATAATAGGTCTTTGATCTGGGGAAGACTTGAAACGACATCTTCAATGCCACAATGTCTGAGATAAACAATAATAAATGATAAATGCTCATATATAAATGCATGCATGACTTCGCTCTTTGCACTGGGTGCCGAAAACATTTCAATGGAGCTGGCCTTGTCAAAGGTTTGACCTCCCTGCTCTGCATAAAGAGGAGTTTTGTCCAGCACCAGCCCGACGACATCGGTACCACTGTTGCAGCTCTGCACAAACTCCTGGAAGAGCAAAACAAGAAATTTGATGGTAAGCATAGGCTAATACGCTTTCAAATCTGTCAAGCACACTGCAAGCATAACACCTCCACTCCGTCCATGGTGTGGAATGGAAATTCAGTCCTGGCCGTCATAGATGGCTTGGACTTTGGCGGTGTGCTCGTTGCCATCGCCCTTTGCCACAAGAGCAAACACACAAGATCACTACGCTAGAAGCAAAGTGTACAAGAAAGCAACTGGACAGCCTCAGTGTTCCAATCATACTTGATCGTGTCGTCGGTCGGAGTCAGCTTCATACCCTTGATAAGCTTGTCTGTCTCATTTGCTTTCAGCTCCATATCCTATCAAGGAGGAATGCGTGCAAATGGCAAAGCATGAAACCGCGAAGTGTGAAGCGTTTCCACAAACCGCCGCCTTTGTTGTTCTAGCAGACTTCTTCTTCTTTGAATCTTCTCTAAACTCTGCCATCTTCTTTTCAAAGCCAGGCATGTCCACCTCAACCTTGAGTTCTTCGCCCATCAATTGCGTCAAATCAACAGGAAAGCCGTAGGTGGTAAAGAGCAAGAATGCATCCTCTCCCGTGATGTTGCCCTTCTTCGCAAAGGTTTTGAACTGCTTGATTCCACGATCCAAGGTCCTGCCAAATTGGGCTTCTTCCTCTTTAATGATCGCCCTCACATCCTCCGGGTTTTGCTTCAAAGTAGGGAAGGCATCTCCCAGAGTCTCAAGGACTGAGTCAACGAGTTGATGGAAGAAACCAGGAGGCGCATCAAGAATCTCACGACCAAAACGAACTGCACGTCGCAGAATTCGACGCAAAACGTAGCCCCGGCCTTCATTCGAGGGAGTGGCACCATCTGTGAGCGCAATCGTCAGTGTTCTAATATGATCAGCAATGACCCGGTAGGCCATATCCACATGATCCTTGTCCTCTTCGCCGACCTTTCCTCCATACGTTTTGGTGGTGTTTGTCTTCTCCTTGATTGCCTTGAAAATGTGCTGAAACAAATCGGTGTCGTAGTTGCTACGCACATCCAGAAGGACAGATGTAACTCGTTCCAAGCCCATGCCTGTGTCAACACTTTTCGCTGGAAGCTCAATCAAAGTGCCACCCTCTTTTCTCTCAAACTGCATGAAGACATTGTTCCAAATCTCCAGCACATCAGGGTCGTCCATGTTCACCAAGTGTGCTGCATCTCTGCCTCCGATTCGATCATAGTGAATCTCGGAGCAAGGTCCACAGGGCCCTGTGTCACCCATCTCCCAGAAGTTGTCCTTCATGCCAAAGGGCAAAACTCGAGATGCCGGCAAATATCGCAACCAAATGTTTTTGGCCTCCTCGTCCACGGGAACACTTGGCTGCTTGGGATCACCGCCATAGTAGGTGGCATAGAGCCGATCAGGATCCAAATGATAAACCTCAGTCAGCAACTCCCACGCCCATGTGATAGCCTCCTCCTTGAAGTAATCGCCAAAGGACCAATTGCCCAGCATCTCAAAGAAGGTATGGTGATAGACGTCCTGCAATGCAAGTGCTCAGTAAATTGACAGAGAGTGGAAAAAGGCACCTTGACAGTTCTTCATTACAAACAGAGTGTTTTCACAAAGGGGTCCTTGCCCACATCTTCCAAGTCATTGTGCTTGCCACCCGCACGAATGCATTTCTGGGAGTTTGCCGCCCGCTTCAACTTTGCAAATGGGTGACTAGGATCAACCTGACCCACAAAGACGGGCTTGAACTGATTCATGCCTTCAGTGCAGGGCAAGCTGAGCAAACCAAGATTTGATATAGTTTTTACATCGGACATCATCGGACAATATCTGACACTTTGCGCAAGTGTCTGCAACTGATCAGCGCTTGGCACCTGCATTGATGAACAGCAGCGTTGGATCATTGTGAGGGACCACCGGTGACGATGGCACAAAGTCGTGCTTCTTCCCCTTAAAGAAATTCACGAAGGTATCCCGCACTTCCTGACAAAGCAACCATGGCCATGGAACGTAATCATGCTTGGGTGTCATTGACAAAGCAGGTTGGGTCTTGCAGTCCTTGGCTGTGGTGAATTCTCCACTTCCTGGACCTTTGGCACCTCCGAAACATTGAAATGCAGGATTTCAACCCATTGTTTTGTTTAAGTCTAAACCATGCCACAGCATGCCACACCTCAAGCTAAGTATGACGTACGTACGTACATATATACATGCAGTGCATTGCATTACATGACACCACACGACATTACATCACATCACATTGCATTACATCACATTACATTACATACATGACATGACATGACATTACATTATCATACCATACCATAACATATAGCATGCGACTCCCATGCGCTTCCTAGCCTGTCTTTTTAGCACGCGAAGGCGCCGAAGAACCGTTCGTTCCTCCAAACTCCTTCTCTTCGGCAGGTGTCAAGGTTGATGTCACAGCGCTCACTGGTTGCAGCCCGGTTGATGCGAGATAGCCATGGCTCTCCGCCATGCCGTGTCGATGCCTCCAAGAAGTTCACCACAAATAGCTGGGAATCATTTGGGCTCCACTGCAAACAGCCTGGCTGCAGCCAAGTGTCCTTTCACAAGGTTGCAATCTCACTTTTCTACAAAATCTGAGCCATGCGGCTGCGGCCAGCTGACCTCCCACAGGTTACAAGCAATATCAAGCAATTGATGCATCAGGTCATGTGCGGCAAGAAACTTGAACGCTTCTGGTCGGCAAATGTGCGCAAGACTTTTTGAAACACGTTCGCTGTCAATGACTCCTGCGAATGAGCAAACTCACATTTCACACACTGATTGATTCTCTTTTTTGTTCCTTCGGTTGGAATCTCCAGAAAACGGCCACAACCCTTCCTTGAGCTGCGGCGCCCATGCGGCTGGCCAGCTGAAGTATTTGAAAATGGGGTCGTGCTCTTTCAGCAGCAGTCAAGGCTGCCTCGACTCGAGAGCTGGGGCGGCAGCCGGATTCAAACAGCAAGGGAGCCACTCAGGGCATGAAAAGACTTGCCAAGTGACATGCAACGTCACACAGTTCTGCCTCACCCCAATCATCCTGAGAAATCACGTTGGCATTCGCATCTTTGACTTTCAGAAATTGGACCCTTGAACTCAAACCAAGAAAGGACAAGCTGCTGCATGAAAGCCATCACACCCAGGACATGCTGCCAGCTGGTTGACGCAGCACACGCATGCATGGCAGCGGTGCCTGTTAACAAGGTCGCCCTCACATCAAAAATCTGAGAGAATAGTCACAGCGAGAAAGCACCATTCGAGCAAGGCACAGCCAACAACATTGGGTGTCACCGTCTCCGTCTGGTGGCTGGAGAGATACAAAGCTTTGGGCCAGCCTGTGTGCCAACATTTGTGTCGAGGCACCGATGCATGAGCAGTTGAGGTCCCCACATCTCAGGTCCAAAGCGCTTACGGCAGACGAAAGCGAGACAGCATCTGGATCACAACGATCAGACCGCATGGTCCCCTTAGCCACGGGCGAATATGGAAGGCGTGCATCAATTGGATGAATCGCATGACATTGCGCCAGTTGCTTGGAACTCCCAGGCTGCATCTCAATGTCACAGTCTTTCCAGGTTCCGGGCCAAGAGTAATGAGGCCCAGATCCAGCAGCTACATTTCTCCTGAAACCCGTGCTACAATTGCAGCTTGAGAAAGCAGAAGTGTTTTGCGATGATCTCTCCTGAACACTGATGGCCGCATTGAAGCTGATGAGGTCAGGGACACTTGCCAATCGTTCTGCAATGGACCTCAGCACAGTGTCACTATATGGCTGAGAAGTCTCAAGAATCTGGGTCGGAGTTCGACGTTAGACGCTCAGCATATGGTACATAAGCATGTGGTGCTGCGGTCTAGGTACAGGAGCTCCAGTGACCAGTCCCATTTCTGTGAGCGCTCACAGTTGCTGATCACCGAGTTGAGAGTCACCAAGCTGGCACGGACGCCTTGCTTCTGCAGCCAAACCTTGGATGCAAATGATGGGGGTGGTAGCCTGGCGGCCCCGCTTGCTTGCCTTCCATATGAAGATATGAAGTTTCTCCACATCATTCAAGCCACACAAAGCTCCAGCGACAAGTCCCAGTGGCGGGCCTTTTCGCCTGCCAAGTCTACGTAGACTCACATGATCTTCACAGAGCGCAAGTCAGACGATTCAAAACTCAAAGCAACACACTCGCCGCTGTGTGCTTAGATGTGCTGCTCCATAAACTAAGTGTAGTGCATGCAGATACGGCGGCATTAAAGGAGATGGTGGTCGGGCGGATGGAAGCTGCAATTGCCAGGTCCAGCAGCAAGAAGGTCCTCCCATGGGGATGTTGGGGCCCGGCTGCCAGTGCTTTAAAGTTCGTGGAAGCAGGCCCCAACCAGCGCAAAAGTCTCACAAGACTTGGTTGGCACTTGGCACCAGCACAAAAGGCCCGATGATGGTTTTAATCTTTGATATGTATATGAGCATATATGAGCACACATCTACACATATACGACACACAGTAGTCCACTTGGTTGGGGGCCTTGCACCCCTTGTGATTGTCCTCTCCCATCGCCTTGCTCGCTCACAGGCGCTTAATGCAGCATTGCGTGCCACAATTGAGCTGCTGCGGTGAGACATAAGGAGTGCATGGGCCCATGCCTGGCCACCAGCACAAGCACCTCAACTGGGCAACAAGTCAAAGCCCACAGGGTGAATTGCAAGGTCTGCTAGCTGCGCCCAGTGGCTGATCACGGAAGAAGTGGAAATCGCATCAAGCTCAAGATCTTTGCGGAGCATCCAAGTTGAGATATCCAAAGCTTCTCGCCATCTGTTGGCCTTCTCTGCCGTAGTTATTAGAGTGCTGCTTGTGAACAAATGCATCTGCATGGATGCACACCTCACCTGGGGCAGGCGCGACTGGACATAGTAGTACCTTGACGTAGGCTGATACATCTTAGCAAGTAAAGTATGTCTCATGTCTCATGGGGTAGCCTGCTTCAAGAGGTTCAGCCCATCATCCCAACTGCTCGTTAGGCGAGCGGAGTTCGCCACATTACTCCACGAGAAAGCATCCCGCCGCATCTGAGTCAGTGAGTCAGAGTTGGAAGTGGCCCTATCCAGACCCAGGCTTGCCAAAACAAATCAAAACAACGTGTAAATTAGTGCCTCTATCTGTATCTATCTGTATACGTATACAACTAACTATGCATGCACAATTGCCACAGTGGTCCAAACGGGCTACAGAAATTGATTCATATTGTTCCACTGATTCATGCCCCCATGAGCAACCACCGCACGGGCGCAAGGTAGCTGGTCATAAACCAAATTGTCCGAGGCACACCACGGCCTTGCGCAAGCTCTGAAATGCTGAGCACATTCTTCCACATGCCCTGCTTCTCCAAGCTGTTCGCCATGCTGTTGAAAGAAACTACACCCTGGGCATCGGGCTCAAAACCGTGACTTTGGAATGGACTTAAGACGCTTCAATGCTGAACATGAACAAAGACCCAAATCGCTGGCGGGCGACACGCTGCACGTGTTGCTCCGACATGCTATGGAGGATCCGGAACGCAACTGGCCAAGTATTTCCACCTCAGTGATGAGATATTTTGGCGAATCCACTATCTACCTGGCAATGGCAAAGGTCTGCAAAGCAGGAAGGGCACCTGTTTCCTCCACAGCGAAGGCAGCCAAAAGGACATTGTTTAGAACCAGGCTCGGCCTCACTCTTCTGTGGCGTACCTGCATCATGGCGACGGGTTCTCATCGACCCTAACTTTGACGTCCCGGGCTGCCTGCCCGAGCAAAACCAGCGCGGCTTGCCATTTTCGAGCAGTTCCTACGCTTTGCATTTGTTGAATGACCAGGGTATCTGTGGCAGCTCGCCGGACCTCAATGAACAAAGAAATGCTTTTGGCTGACAGGCACATATAGCCAGCAGAACTTTTAACACTCCACTCAAATTCAGATCTGGGGCCAGAACAGAGTGTCCAGAAAGGATTGCCAAAACAAAACCCCAGTGGCATTTGCACAGCCATGCCGAGATAGCAGTGTTGGACCTGCATCTGCATCGCGGTTGATAAGCACACTAGTTCATTGTGACAACCGATTTGATTTGCTAGGTTTCCTTCAGCATTGATCTTGCGAGTTTTGACCAGGGCACTTCAAAGGGACATTCAGGGATGCGAGAACTGCAGCCCACTTCTGACCACCCTGCAAGCTGAAAGTATGCAGTATACAATAATTTGGAAGTCTGCAAGAAACACTTGGCCTCTACCTGGGTGGGCCGCTGCGCCGCCATCAAAAGCCATGGCCGCTAGTCGTGCTGTGTCTTTCTTCCAGCGTGGTGTTCCTCCGTCGGGAGAGTTCCGGACGTGATCGATGCAAAACAACTTCCCCAAACCCTAGCAACCCCCAGCTCTTGTCTTGCACTTCTCTTGAGCCAAGACTGCCTGTGATGTTGAAGTCTGAGCATCTACCTCTGCAAATAAAGTATTCTGCATTGAGACTCCGCACGTTGTTGTTGCCGTATGCCAGGATTGGTCGTTTCCTGGCATACTAGCGAACCAACCAATCGCACACACTGCTCTGATTCTGCCGGCTTTTCAGGAAGGTCAAGCAACCAATGAGAAAAACTGAGAACAAGACACCACCCTGGACAACCCTGCCATTTCTGAACCTAAGCCACTTTGTTGGACAGTGCTTTGCACTTCCGCCACACACCTGGGGACCGGGCTGCCGGCCCAATTTCCATCTTTCCCAGTTGTTTGCAAATACCTATAGTAGATTCGAGACAATGTGCTCCAAGTATATCAACCACACGGAAAAGTAACAAGCGACTGAAATTGGAGGAGTTGCTCATCTGCATGCTTCAGAACATACTCGCACATCTGGTCCAAAGAATACTCTGCAACCACTTTGCGCACCTGAGCGTGAAGAGCGGATTCATCGTTCATGTAACTCCCACAGTTTCCCTCCTTCAGTGCCAGCCCTCTTGGACCCTTGTGCTCTCTGAGACGGGTCCTGCTGCCTCTGAGAATAGAGCTTGTCGATAAAGTCCCTACTAGGCAGCACTGGCGGTTTTGTTTCAAATAGAAAATGAACACCCCTGCCTCTCGATCCCACCTCGGCTCTGTGTGTTCCACACGTGAAGCTTGGACCCTGATGACCCTTGCAAGGTGCTTGGCGGAAGTATGCCGGCTGCCAGCTCTGTCTTGTTGCTGCTGATGAACTCCTCTGCCATGTCCTAAACTCAGCCGCCGGTGCACAAAACCAACAAACAGCTTTTGACAACTTCAGTCAGATCATCCTTTGCAGGTCTGGAATGCCTTACTTACAACCTACCTCCCCGGTCCCCATTACTACATATTACTACAACATACTACGACCAACCCACATGAGCTTGAAAAGGCCATCTGCCTGAGGAGAGGGCCGTGAAAAGCTCTCGCAAGCGCCACTCAACTGGTGATGGCAGCGGCTCACTGGTGGCGGAGAGTGCTTTCAACTGGCCAACGGCAGCAGGCTCTCACAAAATGAGCGCAAAATACTCCAAACTCAAACGCAAGCGACACACCTCTGTGATAAACTTTGTCTCATCAAGAATTGCCTGCCAAGCGCACTTATATACCCGTTCAAAGGCTCCTCACACATAGCCTCTCTACTCACACCTGTGAACCCATGAGCGCGAAATCAACTCGCGGCAGCCGTACCAATCTGCGAAGTTGCGAAGCCTTTTCTCGCAGGGGCATGTCCTGTCACTCTTCGACATTCTTCAAGCCGATGGGTTGCAGGCACCCGAGTCTGCTTCAAGCCTTCCACTTCTCTGCAAGCTCACTTCCCAAGCTCTCTTCCACATCTTTCGCAGTAATTTGTGGAGCCATGGAGAGGAAAAGGCAATTTCCGCCAGCACCTGGGACGCACATCATTCAGCATCCAAATGTCTAATCAGTACAGCGAGGCACGAAGCTCTAAGCCATCCGCCCTTATCTTGCGAGCTCCATCCATGCCGTTCCTTCAAGTTTTGAAGGATTTCCTGAAGCTCCGCACGGCACTGGATGGTCCACGATTATTCCTTTGGGTTCGAAAATGTCCTGATCAGTCATGCGGACCTCATGGGCTGGGTAGTCCTTCAGTCGCCAATGTTGCACAGCCGCACTCTAATGCCCTTTCGACATGTTGGAACATCTTTGAAGTTTGTTCAGTCCTGAACCATGCCGAACCGAACCTTGGCGCGAGTGCTTTGGACTCTCTCATGAACAATCAACAACTCGCGGCTGGCTGGCCTTAGAGCCGGACTGTCCGACGTACGCGGCAAGCCTGCGTGACCTAGCTAATCTGACACACTGAATTGGTGTCTGACAGCCTTGGCATGCACTCAAAACCATGTTACGCTAGCTATGTAAGCTTCGCACACCAAAGCGTCCTGATGTTCTTCCGCCAAAACAGACTTCAAAGGCTGTCAGTTTTATGGGCAACCGCACGGCATATGCATCTATATTCACTGCTGTTTATATTATGTATATATATATATATGTGTGTGTGTGTGCGTGTGCGCATGTATGTATGTATGTATGTATGTATGTATGTATGTGTGTAAGTATGTATGTGTATGTACGTACGTACGTATGTATGTATGTATGCAGGCATGCATGCATGTATCTGTGTATGTGTTTTTTTGCACGGGCTTTTCGGTGCAACGAGGTGCTACTGGAACATCTGCCTCAGGTCTTGTGAGCGCGGGTCTGGACAGGTTCTCTAAGCTTCTTGCTTAGGGCCAATCTTTGACGCGGCCTTTGGCCTGGCATCGCGAGCATTCGGCCATTTGGCCTTGCCAAATCATCGTGTGACTGGCTCCGCCACTCCAAAGAGAGGAAGCTAAGGGCCCGCTGTGACAGATGCCACCAAAGAAGGTGATGAAGTTGGCTTCTTTCGCCCTCGCAAGGATGTAGGCTTTGCATTGATCACAGGGGTAGGCCTTCTTGAGCCGGAGGAAGTGGGCGCCAGGCAATGGAAAAAGTCTGCTGGCTGACACAAGGTCTCGGATCACCTCCATTCTTGGCTTGCAATGACGACGGCCTTCTAAGGAGGACGTCGGGCATCCTGAGTTGGTTTCTCCTTGGCATGGAGGAAATGGTCCTTGTCTCGAAGCAGATGATCCATTCTCTCCGCAGCAGCAAGAAGGATGGCTCAGTGTCCTCGTGTACTCTTGCCGCGCGCGAACCTGGGCAATCTCCTTGGTGAGATCCTCAGCAGCAGGTTGACCCTCTTTGGAAAGAAAATGCAATGGGCGGATCTGCTCAAAATCTTCAAACTCCAGCCCAACATAGAGGCCCAGGTAAAGGTCGAAGGCCTTGTATGGAGTCCAAGACTTCCAGGTGTGGTAGTCAGAGAGATCCCAACATGCGTCTTGTCCAGAAGATCCCGGCGCTTGGTGGCTTCTCCTGTCTCGGAGGCAACACACTCGCGGGCGTTGATGTCAAAGATGGCGACTGCAAAGACATACTGGCATCGTTTTTCGAACACGTCGTGGCAATGTCCAAGCAGCATGCCTGGCCCTGCTTGAGATGAGTGGCCTTGAGATCATGCCATAGACCAGTGCCCTTGAAGGCGCTCATGCCTCCACGCCGTTCTCTGAAGAGGTTTTGCGCCATGCCCCGCTTCCAAAGCTCCGGCTCGATGCTGTGCAGAATTCGATGAAACCATTCAGCAGGAAGAGCTTTGACCTTGCCATCCCAAAATTTGCACTCCCACAGGAGGTGTGTGAAGGAGAGGTCAGCCCCACATTGAGGGCATGAGCCAGACTGGCCACGCAAAGTGCCCTGGAAAAAAGCAAACCAATGAGAAAACGCTCACTGGTGTTGTATTCTTTTGAACCTTGAGGCTGACAGTCCAGTCCAAGGAATTTCGGTAACGCGTAAGGCGCAAGAGTCGCTGCCTCTTGATTTCAGCCTCGAACTTGTGCTGCAAAGTGGGCCAATCATCTAGAAGAGAAAGGACGCAATCAGGAATGCCTCCATACCCCTCCATACCCAGTGCGCTTCCACAATTGGCCATTGTTCAGGTCAAAGTCCCAATCCAAAAGATAGGCTTGGAGAGGTGAAGGGCCACATTCCAGCTGGACCAAAAGAGATGTCAGTATCAAAGCCATGGAGCACCTTCCGTCTGGTGTCAGGATGGCTTTCAAGGTAGTGGCAACCTCCTTGGAACTGGTCAGGAACCCGTCTTGTCCGCGTTGAGATGAATGCCTGCTTCTTGAAGGCGGTGTCGGATCTGATCGGATCGGATCGGATTGGGCGCGAAGCTCCGAAGAGCTTGGCCGGCTTGACATAAGAAATCAGTCAAGAAGGGACTCAGGGCAGGGCCGTCCCAAAAGTTTCTCTCCTTTCTATACACCACAAAACAAAATCCACAGAACGGCGCCAGGTAACACACCCTGCAGGGAGCGCTACCCAGGCCGCCGCGCGGAGCAGTTCCAATGGCCCAGGTGACAAAATACCAGCACGCACTGTGGCGCTTGTCGTCCGCCGCATCCAGCCGCGCGAAGCGGTTTCAAGGATGCAGCGAGCCATTCAAGCAGTACAGTTACAAATTCGCCCAATCCTGGCTGACACAAAGAGCCGAGGTCAAAGAAAGAACAGCCCTATCATGCCATCAACTCCGGATCACGAAAATCCACAGTCAACTGACGATCCCGGATATGACCTGCAAGCAGGGCCGCACGTGCGGACGCGACCTCAAAAAATCAGGGTCCCAGTTACTTGTATCCCCTTCAATTTGATTTCCGGGAGACACAGTCCGGCCAGGCTCTCACTCAAACTACAGCTACCTATGATCACAAGGAGGGCTAGAGACATGCAAAAAGACGCCGTTCAATGTGGCGTCGACGTGACACGTGACTACAAGAGTCACGCTGGCCGGAAGAACATTCTATACAGTCTATACATGAGAATCCGGTGTCTTTGTTAATTGGAGGTCTGTACATCACACATATCATCTACGAGTGTCCGCTGGGTCACCCAGCTTGAAGGTGGTGTCGAAGAGGCCTGCAGAGGCTCAGGATCAGTTTGGACATGGCTGGAGCTTGGGGACAGCCCTGACGATCACTGACCACTCCCTCCGCTTGAGTGAGACGAGGTCCCCTGTAGAGGTCCAGAGGAAGCTTGAGATGCAGGGGAGGGTAGTGCAGTTCAGTGGCTGGCCCGATGATGTGATCCAAGGTGACCGTGTCATAGAAGCAGGAAAGATCTGCTAAGCACGTGACAGTGTGGACCCCCTGGTGATGACAGATCTCGGTGGTCAGCACGCGGCCAACTGCAATCGAGAGGCAATCCCTGTGCGGCGTTGCATGATCCCAAGGCCAGGCATGACCATATCAAAAAAAAGTTGCCACTTCTGGACCTCCGCCTTGCGGTGCTTGTTCCAAGCTCGGTAGATGAACGAAGTCAAAGCTATGGGACGCTCCACCTTCAGATTCTTGGGAATCATCACAATGTTGGTCATCCGAAGCTGCACCGGTAGCAAGGGAGGCTGGCTGTATGTATGTGTATGTATGTATGTATGTATGTATGTATTTTTTTGCTCGTCTTTTCTGCGCGGTGCGTCTCATGCGAACATTTCTCGCAAATCTCGACTCCGCTGGAAAATGCACCTCTGGCGCAAGCGGGCCGTCAACTGGATCTTGTCGTCGATGAACTTGGCTCTTGCGTGGCATCGACTGCATTCCACGTTGCGGCCCTGTCTCTGCATGGTGTGCGAGACGTGTCCTTCCCACAAGCTACTCTCCAGCGGTCCTGAGTAGCATGGCTCACTGACGAACTTGGTGAAGGAATCTTCATTCGTCCTATGTAGCTCTTGCAAGCCGTGCGCCTGAGATATGCACGATCCAACTTGAGGTGGTGCACCCCGCTCTGTGGGCCTGTTTGAGAAGCCACGAGAGCATGGATCATCTCCATCCGAGTCTGTTTGGGCTGAGAAAGCTTGGGCGCTTTCTCGCAGGGCTTCTCTCCCGCTTCTTTCAACTCCACCAGGAGACTCTTGCTGTGGTATCGAAGCTTGCAATGCACACAACGGATGCCGCTCCGAAAGGGTTCCCAAGCATGCCCTGTTGGAGACTCTTTGGCAGCCATGTCCGCTAGAATCTCCTTCTTCTGCTGAATGAGGGGAACTTTGTCTTGCATGGCAGCTTCCTTGCGGTGCAAGTAATGTTCCTTGTTCTGAAGCAAAATGCTCATCCTCTTGTAGCAAGATTTCATGGGCATCGTTGTCAACATGAGCCTGCGTGTCCAGAATCTCAGTGGGTTCAAACAGTTTGCCAGTGCGTTGGGCCAACTGCTGAGTGTCTTTATGTGTGATCCGCATGAGTTCATTCTGAGACAGCTCCTGCTTGGAGAAAAGGAGAGGCCAAACATGGTCAAAGTCGGAAAGGTCTCAGAGGCAACATATGAGGTTTCCAAGCTTGCCACACCTTCACATCATACAGGGCGACAGGAGTCTTCTCTGTGACATGAAGAGCCAACTGCTTTAAGGCATAGAAGAAAGCCCGGCATCGTGTCGCCGGTGCTGGACAGATGCCGGAAATGGACCCAACCTGCTGCTTGGTCTTTGTGAGATGGACACAGACTGCAAAGGCGAAACGTCGGCGCCTCTTGTCTCCACAAGTTGGCGCCACCGCGATCGAGCAGATGTGCCCTTTGTCAGCGCGGAGAAGGCCCAGGTCAGCCCACAAGCCAGTACCCTCGATGGTGGCCGAAGTCGCTGCCAACGGAATTCCTTCTTGAGCTGGGAGTGGATGACCGGCCAAGGATCAAGAAACGAAAGCAGGAGGGAAAGCAGGCAGTCCGGTATTCCGCCATAGCCCGTGCGCTTCCACTTTTGGCCGTTGGAGATGTCAAACTCCATGTCAAGCAAGTACGCTTGCAGGGCTTGAAGAGGTCCAGAAACCACCTGCCCAAAGCGGTGTTCCAGCTGGTCCAGAAGAGATGCTGTTTGCTGTCATCAAAGCTGTGAAAGACTTTCCAAACAGTGTGCAGATGTTGGAGGATGATGGAGTCCCCTGGATCTGGCTGCCCCTCGTTCATGTCGTACACCACATCAACCGAGCCAG